GAAGAAGAAGAAGAAGAAGAAGAAGAAGAAGAAGAAGAAGAAGAAGAAGAAGAGGAAAAGGAAGAGGAAGAGGAAGAAGAAGAGGAAGAGGAAGAGGAAGAAGAAGAAGAAGAAGAATTTTTTCCGTCAAGTCTGGTGATGACCGATGCATCTGCAGAGAGAACAGTACTTCATACAGAGAAATAGAAGAAATTAGGATTAAGATGATATGGCTCTTCTGCAATGGCTAATGAGACAAATTCTGGCAGAGAGGAGTTCTCCGAATTTTCAGCATTTAAAAACTTCATATCCATTTGTGCATGTGCACAGCTTGTAGATTTCTCTCTTGACTTCAGCATATCGAAATTCCAATGCTTAATTTTTAAAAGCTAATTGTGACATAATGAGATGATGGCCTTAGCTTCTTGCAGCACGTAATTGCCAGAATAGACCCTGTTGGAAGTAACTTCTTGCTTTTTCTTTCGTAGTTCATTGTCTTCTGCTAACAGATGCATCTTAATGACCACCTGAAAGAATTTATTGACATCATTAATAAGCCTAAGCCTGTGTACACAGACTGAGTCTCTGTGAGATGAGCACTTTCTTCAAGTTTCAATAAGGGTTTCCCGCTCTATTTAAAGATAATATCCGATCAAGAGATTAAAACAACAGAACGTTTTGCCGTTTTGTGTGCGTGGTTATAAAGAATAAGATATACTACAACCACTGATACTTGAAGTCACTGGTATTGGTCCATTTTCTTTGTTCATATAATTTTTACTCCTTGTATTTTGTCTCACTGGTCCAATATGTACATTTTTAATATTTGTTCTTACAACTTTAAGAGCCCATGATATTTTGTCAAATTTCAGAGCGCATAAAGAGGATTGCTGTCAATTCAATGTTGTATGTAGGAGCCTACAGCAGTTTGCTATCTCATTCAATATAGAAACCTTGATAGGAAAGCACATTTTGAAATAATGGTGTTCAATGAAGTTACAGAAGGTTAAATGCGTTTGACCTCGGACAAAATTATTGCATGCACACCGTGTCTAAAGAACAGAGGCAGCCCTACCAGTCCTGCTCAATATTTAAATCCCTATAGCCGCTACACCTCATACGAGTGTTGCTGCCCACGGGTGTCAGGAAGAGGTTTGGCTGAATTCTGCTGATACCTGTGACATCACAGATCACCTTGGCCAGGGAGAAAGAGTTAACCTGAGCAATCTGGGCCGGCGTGAACGCCGTTGTCGGGTCTGCCTGGTTCTCATACCAAAACCTGTCTCCGAACTTCAAATCCCGGAATTGCAGGGCCAAAATGCAGGTGAAGACTTCCCCTATCCTCCCTCCTTGGACGGGTTTCTCGCTGAGACCTCCACTGTATAAATCTATGTCGTCAGGGGACGCGTAGACCTTCGAGAATTCGCTCTGTCCACTCTGAAGGTCGGAGAAGCGGGCGTATGCAGGCAGTCCGCAGAACCTTCTGAAGGCGTTGTAGGGCGGCAGGCCGTGGTCTCGTCCTCTCTGAATGTTGAGGGCCACCAAGTCGAAACCTTTTCCGGGTCTTTTTGGAGGCTCGAATAGTTGATCGGTGACGCCCCTCGAGTATGTTCTGTCCACCTGCAAAGTGGGGTAAGGATTGTGTTGGGTGAGGAGTTGGGGTGGGGTGGGGTGGTGAGTATGGGAAAAAAGGGGAGTGGGTGTAGGTTGGTGTGTGAAAGGGGAGGAGTAGGAGGGGTGGGTTGGTGAATATGAGTGGGATAGAATGGAGTTAGTGAGTTGGGTGGGGGAGCGGGGTTGGAGTGGGATAGGGTGGAGTGAATGGGGTGGGGTGGGGTAAGAGGGGTGGATGGGGGAAATGGGTTGGGGAGGGGATGGGGTGGTATGTAAAATGCGGATGTTGGTGGTTAATGTATGTGAAATGAAATGAAATACTGTGACATGATGTGGAGCAAGAATCAAAATGCATGTAGATCAGATTCTTGACACCAATTATTAACTTTTAATATAACGGTTCTACAAGCACCTCTAGTACCGGCATCTTTGGTGTAGTTGTAAGGCTCTTCACTGTCTCACGCAGGAGACGAGAGTTCGATTTCCGAATAAGAAGAAATTATATCGAGTATATCCGTCATTCTACTGGGATGTTGTATCCCTCACAACCCAGGTTGTCCCTGACAGGCAAGGTCGAAGCCCACCTTCTATATGATCTGAATTGTGTCCGTGGGGGGGTTAAAAAAAACTCCTAATTTTAAAAGTACATCTCTAGGCATATTCAAAACTAGGTCGATGTTCTAAGACTGACTCGAAAAAACAAAAACTTAATAATTCTAAGTGTTAAGGGGTTCTGAAAGAGTGGTTTCATTGATGTTCATGCTTGTTGATCACAAGTAAAACGCAGATGAGAGAATGATCATACTGATTTATATAATGACAAGATTGTCAGCCCGTTCGATGAACAGACTCAATAGTCAGGTCATTGTGGGTCCAGTGCGCACTGAATTGAACGGAAGTCTCAATTTTTATTCCATGGAAAACGAAATATGTGAGGCAGCGCGGTGGAATCAGGCTCTCGTCAAAATAATAAAAGTGAAGAACTTGCATTTTTCCGCAGGTTTGTGAATTTTTATCAATTTTTTGTTTTTTTGGTTCAACACCTTTTATGCCCATTAAAGAATTCATTCATGTGTGGATTTTTCTGAAAAACGTTGATTAAAGGCTCAAAAAATGTAAATTTTCATTTACCACGGACTCTTATGCTAAGGAAATAACTAATCTTTGGCGGCCATTTTCTCACTAATTTTACCTCTAAAAAAACAAGTGACCGCACCTCCTTCTTTCGCAAATATCTCGACCTGTATTCAAGATAAATGGATATTTTTTCCGTCCAAATAAAGACAAGTGAACAAGCTTTAAGGTGGTACCAATACCTCTACATGCCCAAAAATTGACGAGAACCTGTTTCCACCACGCTGCCTCACATATGTTTTGAACACTGCATTGAAATGACGAACGGAAAATCGTAAACGGCAATAATGTTTTCTATCATTCTAAATTTTTTAGGCGAATGCAAGCACTTACAGAATTGATAGAAACTTAGCTTGGTCTTTGAACTACCTTCAGTAATTTTTTAATGGTTCTATGTCCCTATAGTTGTTGTTTTTTCAGTTATATAAAACAACCATCCTCCTGTACGCAATCATATATA